GATCATGATGACTATCAAAAGTTGTCATCCAAGCTACTTTTGAGATAGTGGGAAGAAAAGCGTTGAAATGAATAACCAGCAAGTTCTGCAACATAACTGATAAACTAATGGAAGGAAATGTACTTTTGAGCCCTGCAACTTCTCGGCTGACACCGATACTGCTCTGTCAACATCATCAAAAGATGTTGGTGTCCCGAACTCCGGGGTAGCCATTCCTGTGACTACCTGTAACAGCAAACCATTCTCAACGGATGATAACTTCTAATAAGCCACAATGAAATTTCTTTATTCTCATGAGAGCTGAGTTCATTGTAGTAGCACCATTTCTAAAAGAAATAATGAAGAAGTGCTACTCAAAAGAATACTGTAATGCATTTCAAAAATAACTGCACCATAAACTTGTTTACTTCTTCATCTGTTTGCAGAGATGAACAAATATTTGTGTGGATAAACGATAGATCTGTGCAGAAGATTTCTTTTTTTCCTTTCTGAGTTTCTCACAATGATTTAAAGTGTTAGCGTCGTTTAGGAAAGCAGGAAAACGACATAAAATGAAGAAGTGAATGTCACTTCTTATTGATTTCGAGCATTTGATAATGGTAATATGGAAATGATAGTGGGAAATAAGTTAATGCAAATTTCGAATTAGTAGTGATACAGCAGGATTATTCTTTATTCACGTAAGCAGAATTGTGCTTAACACAAACAGTACTGAAAATGTGAGTCTAAAGGTGAGTGAACTCGTTGAAATACTCGATAGTGACAGATGAAATCCTGTTCAAATTTGGTTAGTGCTAATGTTGGTGACAAATGTTTTGTTCGTATGATTAAAAGTCAGTATTTTCAAATTTTGCACATCGATTTCTTACTCAAATAAGGTGCATAGGATTTATTCGTGTTGTAGAAGTGAGAGATTTGAAATGAAAAAGAAATATTTGCACAACAGGCAGCGACGTGCTTCGCATTTTGGATAAATATAAGCGTTACCAGGTGTTTTCCATCGATATTTACGCTATTTTGCTGGTTTTCTAAATGATTACTACAATAAAACGTATGCAGTGATATGCCACTGTTCATATTGTCACAAACGTTTTATTGAATGTTTGAAAAACTCAGTTTATAATCTCTTCTAAACGAATGATTTAAACAATTATTCTTTGATTATGGGTGATGTATCAAATTTTTGAGTAATTATAAAAGAGAAGGGAATTGAATAATTATTTTATTGATTGCTTAAATCAATTTGTTCTAGGAAACGAAAATATATATGGTTACATCATATAATTTAGACATTTCCACTGCATCCGTATTTGCATTTCTCAAACTGCTATTTCGTTGGAAGGCCAGTATATGGAAAATTGTCTTGAAAGAATTATTTATTTGGACAATTTTATATTTGCTTGTCACTTGCTACTATAAATCGGGATGGTTCATGAGTCAACAAGTGAAAAGGTCTCCTTTTTCCAATTTTCTAATCACGTATGTAAAGTATGGAATAATTTGAAGAGCTTTCCTTTACTTCATCACTAATTACAGTTCATCATTTCTTTATGTTTCCTTTTTTTTGGCTAAATAAAGTGAACTATTAATGTAGCATCAAAATTACCACTTAGCGATCTCTGATAGTGAACAATCATGCTGCACTTTTCAGATTGATTATGTACTTGAGAATAAGTTTCGGTACTAACTAATCCAATATACTACTTAGTAATTAGAAAGTGAGGTATGAAATAGCCAAATATTCCTATTGATTCAATATTAAATATTTATTCAAAGTAGAGATATTCTAGCGTATTTGAACGAACTGCAATATACTTCGGGAAATATTTGAATCGTAGTAACCTCATATTTATCTTGGGCTTTTTCGTCTCGTCTGTCGCCACTCGATGGAATGTTTTACTTCAAAATATAGGTTTCATAGAAAGGTTTGTAATACTCCCATCGCATGTTTCTATTTTTTTAGAATTATCTGGCAAGAAACATGAGCATGTTAATCCCTGAGTTTTAATTTTATGTTAGTTTCCTCTCTTCCGTATTAATTGTTTGGTGATTCACTTCCATTACTGAATAAAAATCTAGTTTGGCGCTATTCGTCAGTAGCTGCGTGCAGGGTGACGATGAAGAATCTCGAATGTGTCGTCGAACTATTGTACGGAATGCTTGTTTGGCACAGTGTTTAGTACTTCGAAATGTTAGCGTGCGCATTCGGAAGCGCTTTCCTACAATGAGTACTTTGGTGGAAGCAGGTATTTCTTTACTAGATTTTTTCTACTCTGTTGGCCTTACGTCCGCAGTCCAGAACTGGTTAAGAAAAACTTTGTAGGATTTATGACGAAGAAAGAACTGGAAAAATTTGAAAGTTTTGAAATACCATACGACAAGTACTGGCTACCAATAACTTGGTCAATGACACACGTGTTGGACGCTAGAAAGAGTGGCAAAGTGATAAATGATTTGGAAATGAGCAAACTTGTCGACGTTGGTATTACTTTATACTTCTGTTTTCAAAGAATGAATTTTGTTGAACTTTCTGTTCTTTCAGGAACTGAGAGCCTTCAAAGATTGCCTACAAACAGTGACAAATTACGACTGGGTGCCTTTACCTTTGGTTTATCCATAGGTATTCTAACAGATTTATATCTTTATATCCATAATCATATATCATAAATAGTAATTGTGAAATGAAAGCAAATTGGATTGAGCATTTAACCAGACATTATGCTTTAGAATGTCATCTAGAAAGCTTGATGCTATCATCAGACTATTTTTTTGCAAATCATCTTCTAGCTATCGACAGATTAAACACTTATCCTTCATACAGTATGCCAACATTTCGTCGGTTCGAATTCTAATAATACGGCATCTTAATATACTCATTTTAATACTACTTGACTGTACTGTAATCTTTATGTAAGATAAGAAATTATGTAGGCTTTGTGAATATGTTGAAGTGATAGACGTTGAAAATTTCCAGGTAATAACCATTTCTGTTTACTTCTATTTTATTGTATGCCTCTTTGCAAGACAACATTTCCTACCAGTTGTTAAGAACGACCTCGAATTTCACGTATGTCACAATCATTTATTTTCATGGACATACGCCATCGCATCTTTGACATATAAATTTTTCTATCTTTTGTTTTCTTCGAATTTTCTCACTAAACAGCAGCTAAAGATTAAAAGCATGATAAAATGATAAAATTTGTAGGAGGGCTAAGTCTAAATTTTAATGAATTTTAATTTCGGGTTTATGCAGTGTAAAATTTGCAATTTCTATTCACGTAGGGAAAAACAATAAAGAGTATATTGGTGCTGTTGTTTACAGTTCGATACTGTGTTACCTGTGATGACGATGGTCGAGTTTTTATTTTATGTCGGATGGATGAAAGTAGCAATGAATTTACTCAATTCATTTGGTGAAGATGACGACGATTTAGACTGTAGCTTCTTCATTGACAAGAATCTCGCTGTGTGTTTCTGAAATTTTCATTATTAAGATGCATAATTAGAAATATGGAGTTACATATACAAGATTCACGCTTGATAACTGTTTTCAAAAAGTAGCAATAGTTAGTATTATTATTATTGAGGCAATGTAGGGCACGCAAAGTCTCGAAAGCTATATAAATGATTTAAAAAAAACAAAAATTACATTGTATATTGGTTTTTCGGAAGAGTGATTCTTCCGAATGACTTATTAAAGTGTATAAAAGTGACACTAAAGTAATTGGCGAAATGGATGTTGGCATCCACGTAATGCATTGATGTTTGACATTTCACCATAGAGCGACTCAAGGTTTAAAGTTTCGTGAATTGTTTTTCAGACTGGTCTATACATCGTCGACATATACCGCAATGTTGTACCGAACTTACATGATAGCTTTCCGGCATCTTTTGAAAAGTCATGATTTGATTTGAAAGTGATAAAAATGAATAGAATCTGTGTTTCTCAAAAAATTGCGATTTCATTATTAGTGTTCATATGGTATGGTCAAAATTAAAATAAAATTATCTAAATCCAAGTATCAATAGTTGACACCTGCCGTAGAAGTTACTAAAATTTATTAACTGAAGTTTATGTGGAGGATAGCCATAACGATATATATGCAGACACAAGAATTATCCATGTTTTTAACGCACTTCCTGATTTTTGATTTATGGGATATTTCAACAGCTGGTATAGGTAATTGATATGCGTTTGAGATGGTGTAGAATTATCGATTCATGATGGAATCAATGTGTTGCATGGAAATATTTATTATGTGTAGCAGTATTTTTAGTAGTCCAAACTTATCATTCTCATTTATGAAATTGCTGTTCCAAAGCGAGAAATAATAGATTCTTTTGTTATACGATCTGCATTACTCGGCTATGTGTCATATTTGCTGGAATGGAATACTTTTTCTAGAAGTTTTAAAGCTAAGAAAAAATAAAATTCGATCATTTTTAGGAAGTTCCACATCTTGAGCTATTAGAACTGCTGTTTGAAGTACACTTCTCATTGATTCACTGCAGTGAATCTGCCATCTTTTTAGTTTGTGAAAGGCTTATCCTCTCTGAACACCTTACCGAACTTAAGTGGAGCATGAATCTAACAGGCATTCTTCTGCCGTTTCACAAGTGACACTCCTTACTGCGCATGAGGAAATTCAATCTATAGAAAGTGGACTACAGTGTAAGCTGATATAGCTTTCTGAAATTAATTCCTGGTGATGTCTCAATTTTGCTCTTTTTCCATTCCAAAATGACAATTTCCAGTTCTGCCGAAGAAAGCTACATCATACTACAATATGCAAGTAATGTTTTAGTATTATCTATTTTTCTCAGTCAAGTTCAAGCAGTAATATATGCATAACTTAAAAAAAGAAAATTCCTCCGTGTTTATCATCTTAAATGGCTTTATGGAATATGATCATTAAATGAATCTCAGAAATGAGCAACCAATGAATACAAGCAGCCTTGTCATAAATATAAAAAGAAGACGAACTATGATAGTAACGATGGGTAAATCTGATAATTACAGCATTATTAGTACTTTGGAAGATTTCGAAATCAGATTGGAGAACCATGTCCAGGTTAAAAGATATTCGATTTGTCATATGGCAATAAAATTGCGTGAAGATAAAGAGTTATCCGGTCCTTGCACTTCTGACCAGTGCAAGTATCATATGAAACCTGCAATCAAGAAATATGATCACTACAAAGACTTTTAATTGAAAGCAAACTACTACCATAAATGCATTACCGCCGTCTTTATCCTCTCCGAAGTATCAAAAACATTTTATTCCTAACAAAAAAGAGAGAGAGAAAAGAAAAACTGCGTTTTATTCCCAAACACAGTACTAAACACCATAACTAGAAATTATAAAGCTTTGTTGATGATTGATGATGAACAATAAATTTAATGTAACCGTGGAAATAAAACACGAGTCTAATAAACACCGCAGCAAAACCTTCCCATATATTTCTTTTCTGCTACAAAATTTCCTACCATATTATCAAATCTTTTAGACAAATATATAGTTTCCAAAGCAATAAGTCGATATCAGTAATATTAATTGGGAAATTACAATCATATAGAAGCTTTACTTAGCGTCTCTGAATAAACATCATACAAAGAAAGAAACTCTGTTTAATTGCAGCTCACACATTACTCACACGATTTTGTTGAATCACCTGAAAATTCGATATTTCAGCACATTTAATGTTATAGTATTAAAACGAATATATAATAATAAGTTCACAATATATGGTGAGGCCACGTAACTATAAGTGATTAGTCTAAAGTATAGAATTATGATATACAACAAAAACATTTATTTTCAAATATTTCTTTTATCTTACAATGTAATAACCAGTACTCTCCCAACATTTAACAGTAGTTGGACGAGAATCACTAATCATCAAGATTATTCGAGCTAAATAATATAAAAGCTCTGGGTGGGATCACCTCAACCAAGTGATGGTGGTCTCAGTATAATCAGTTCCAACCATTAAAAAGCAACGAGAATAACAAAAAACTGAAATTCAAAGCCACTACTTACTTAAAGTATATATAATTGTCTCCCTGCTTGATAAAACTCGGGATTAAAACATAATCAAGTATGGTTTTACGTTTTTGCAATTTAAGCGTAAATGATTTGCCTCACTCATCATCTTCTTCTTCCAAGCCTAACTGGCCATACTTGGATTTTTTGGAAGGCGGTGATGACTGTTCAGAATCGAAAGCTCGTGAAGCAGCAGCCATTGCAAGCACCGCTAATCCATCTTCCGTACTTTCACTACTCGACTGCCTCGAAAGCAAGGCAGCTGAGCGTTTACTGTTGGTTCCCGATGCATTTAGTACATCCCTACAAACACGTGCCTATCAACCGCACTCCAATATTAAACTCACACAATTTTTTTTTTCTATGAGGTTTTCGCGTATTTGATACATAAGAGGGTATGACAAATTTTTCATTACAAAAAAGTTGCTAAGAAAATTAGTCATCACGACAAACATTTCAGTATTATATAAATATATATAATATTGTACAAGTTCATTCTTATATTTTCATACTGATAGTTTTTGTTCGCAATGGGAATCCAGAATTCATGTTTCTCAGAAGGCATGCCAGTTTCAACAAAGAACGGAATAAGATACCTTTTGCCATTTTTATCAACTGATCCAGTTGTTACATGTTGTTCAGAACGCAATTTCTGACTGATTGGTGATTCTTCAGCGGTCTGCCAAGTAGATGATTCAGACTTACCAATTATTTCTAGAAATTTTCTTTGAAAATTAACCGTAATTACTTAAAAAGTTTCCTATTTTTCAAATAAAGATTTCAAAATAACCAGTTTCATTTATAGAAATGTTGATGACAAAATATATAAAGATGCTCTTTCCTCCAATGGAAACTCTAACAGAGCATTAGCACCATAGTTTTTCGTAGTTTTTAAATTTTAAAAGCTTTCAATGATAATTATTCAAAATTCGAAAAAATCCTGCTCAGTAGATTGCAATTATAAATCAGCTGCTAATAATTTACCATTAACTTCATCTTCCTTATCCTCAGATGCTTCTAAATCTGCAGCTATACTAGCTACAGCTGCTGCTGTTTCCAGAGTCTCGGCTGTTGATGGTGCCCTCGGTTCAGTTGTTATGCGGGGTCGACAAACCACCGGCCTCGAGATCTCCTGAATAAAACATTAGAATTACAAATGCTTTGCAAGCAGATTTCAATTACAGTAAACGGAAGGAAACAGTAAAATGGGACCTGTCGAAATGTCGGAAGAGGATACGAAGAACGCGATTGAACCCGTGGAGCAGTATAAGACAAAGAATCAATGGCAATAAGCCTTGAGCGTGCATTTCCTATAAATATTTAAGCTATAAATTCATCTTAATGGAAAAGGTAGACAACACTGCTAAATATATGCAACTCAGAAAAACGCTTCCAGACTGCCCGACTTTGAAAAATCAGTCATGCATTAAAAAATTCCGCAAATTTAAAAGAAATTACAACTAAGTATGATACAAAATCAATAATCAAGTGTAAAATACATCAAATAAAATCACCCTCAACAAGATGAGAATAACTTAAATGCTGACCAACAATAAAAGTCTTAAAATGAAAGTGTTATAGCAAATATTTGGAAGTCAAAATAAATGTGGGAACAAAGAATTCCAAGAAACTAGATCCCACATCAATTCCTGGAAATAGGGTGAGTGAGAGAAAGAGGGAGAGATGTAGTTCTGTGCTATTGATGAAGCTAAAAGTACACTACACAAAAAGGTTAGATATCGCCGTCTTAACTCATATTCGTTTAATACACGAAAAGAGCTTAAACAATAAAAATGCACGAATCACTTATAAATAAAATCTTATTTGTTAAATGGAGCTAAAAAAAAGTAATTTAAAAGTAATTGGAGAGCCTAAAAAGTAATTTAAAAGAAACTCACCACTGATGAATTGTCGTTCGTCATGTTGTCGGAAATAGGGGCCAATTCTGGATGTTGCTGCATTCACAGGTCTACAATTGCTCAAATAATTTAGATAATCTATTTTTGTCCCCAAAATTTTAATTTATATTGTAAATAACCTCCTACGATTTCTCCTACGACTCTTTACACCTTTTTCAAAAATAATCGGCATATTACTTCTTACAATATTTGAGTCTACTGTCCGGAAGAATAATAACATGCTGAAGCAGCTTGTTATCTCCACATTTTTCCTCTTAACCAATTCAGTCATTGTTAAATTACACTATACTGTCTGGATCCGTTGAAGAATCTGTTTCAGAGACAACATAGCACATGCAAAATAAACATTACCTAAAGTTCTTCATCCTACAATCACTGTTCTTAAAATATTAAGAAAAATTACCGGTTAGAGTAATCCATTGGTAAAACAACATTTGTTGGTGCCCGTCTTATTCTACTATCCAAAGAAATGGTACTGCGGTTGCGCCAGTTCGGTAATGGACGAGAAGCGCCTGTACAAATATATTTAAGACAAACGAAAACAAACATAATTATAAACTAATAACATAGGTGAATGAAAAATCGAGTTTTTTTCCCAACACTTGGATCTAAAATAATGGCTTTAACTTACCTACAGTAGCAATATAGCGTGATGGTAAGCGTACCGGCTGACCAGGGATAGGAGATGTTCCTGTGCGATTTCGCAATACGATCTATAAAATTACATTTTAAGACTAAAGCAGGATAACTTTTTTAAGAATAGAAAAAGTTACTGGTTTTTGTAAGGCAGATCTTGAAGACGCAGATGTTAAATTCATCGATGCTGATGCAAGAGATGCACTGCTTGTTGAACCCAATGATATCATTTCAGGCGCCTCAATAGTCGATCTATTAACTGCTGTATTACAAAAAGTTCTGAAACATAAGGAATGGTAGTTCATTATTTGAAAAGTTCAATATGGTTGAAAAGCACTAATATACATGTATCTAATTCTTTCAAAGCATAAGATTTTTCTTTCATATTAATTTAAGTTAAATTTGCCATGTTTACTTCAATTTATTGTGAAAACTGAAAATGATATGTAATAATGAATTTGCATACTGACTGAATGTATAGCAGACTTGCAAACTGATAAGGTAAATGGAAATTTGTTAATGAACCAATTAACAGTTTAACATTTTAGCAATCAAGTTTAACAACTTTTGAAAGTTTAAGATCTGCATGAATTTATTATTGGACAATGTACAAAGATAAAATTTTTTACATGTTAAACAGATATATTTACATTTCTTAATAAGAAAATTCTTAAAATTTTATGAATCTATCTAAAACGAATAGTTAAACTATTAAAATCAGAATTACCTTCTGAATCCAATCTTGGGAGTAAAAGTAGCAGCAGTGGGGGCTGCAATTCTTCTAGAAATTAACTGTGATGCTGATGCTGCTGCTCTGGTCGGTCCACCATTCAAAAGATCCTGTACCATTGATTTCGAAAGCTGTTCTTGTGAACGATATATGGAGGGGCTTAATATATTACCTGCAAAAAAATCCAGAACATTTAGTTTGGAAGTTTATCTTCAACAAAGATAATCAAAAGAAATGAATAATCAGTATAAAATCCGAATTCAGTACGCGGCAGAATATGTTTGCAGATGATTCGAAGAAGTTATGACCGCCAAAAAATTAGTTGCTGCAGACGATACTTAACTACTGATTTAAAATTAAATTCCACCAAAACTCACCGCCTAAATAATCTCTGACGTCTGACAGTGAATATCGAGTTCCAGGAGTTCGTCTGGAACATATCAATTTCATTACTTAATAGACTGGCTCAAATATTTTCGATAAATTCAAGTTAGTTCAGAAGCTTTAGCAAAAACAATAAATATGCAAAAATAGTTAAATCCATGAAGTAGACCTTATTTTGGTTTTGGGAAAATTCTCAGTCACAAAGGGTCTAGTTCGAGCACAAGAATAAAGGTCTTCTTCATGCCATGATCTGTGTATTGACACACCATGCTGCAGTAATACGTCTCCAGAGTTTCTAGAACAGAAACAGAGATAGTTGAAATACAATGCAGATTTTACCAAAACTTTGAAAATTTATCTTCGGAAGCTAAAAAAAAGAATGTACAAAGAAAAGGAATCAATCATAGTGAATGGTTAGAGGAAGGTTTATTGTCTTAATATATTACTTCAATTCTTCTTTGCTATTGTTGAGTATTCCAGCTTTTATAATAAATGTA